ATAAATAAAAATAAAAAACTGGAAGCGGTGGCTCATGCCTGTAATCCCAGCACTTTGGGAGGCCAAGGCAGGTGGATCACAAAGTCAAGAGATCAAGACCAGCCTGGCCAACATGGTGAAACCCCATCTCTACTAAAAATACAAAAAATAAGCTGGGTGTGGTGGCAGGCGCCTGCAGTCCCAGCTACTTGGGAGGCTGAGGACGTGATGTAATAAAAATACTGAAATATTCCAAAAGATTGAAACTGAGTCTGATCCATAGGATGAGACGAGGAGCCCAGAATGTGAATCTATAGGATCAGCATCAAATAAATTGCAGGGGAAAAAAAAAAAAAAAGACCCAGTGAGGTGGCTCACACCTATAATCCCAACACTTTGGGAGGCCAAGGCAGGCAGATCAATTGAGGTTGGGAGTTCCAGACCAGCCTGGCCAACATGGTGAAACCCCATTCCTTCTAAAAACACAAAAGTTAGCCGGGAATGGTGGCACATGCCTGTATCCCAGCTACTTGGGAGACCGAAGCAGAAGAATCACTTGAACCTGGGAGGTGGAAACAGCAGTGAGCCAAGATCACGACACTGCCCTCCACCTTGGGTGACAGAGCAGACTGCATCTCAAAAAGAAAAAAAGCCTAGAAGGAATGACCAACCTAATGATGAGGAACGCCCCTAGCATCCACCCAGACTGCACTCTTGAAATACCATTACCCGCTGACAGTAACCAGGGCTTCACAGAGAAATGGTGGATTCCAGGTCTAGGATTGAGATAATAAGATGAGCTAGGAACGTCATATGCTAGAAATCAAGGAAACTATCAAAGGTTACTAGGATCACGTCAAAAGTACTCAATAGTTGCCATGAAAGAATTTTTACTGGTCAAAGAGGGGACAATGGTAGCATTCAAAAAATTTTTTATAACCGGGCACAGTGGCTCACACCTGTAAAATTCCAGCACTTTGGGAGGCCGAGGCCGGCGGATCATTTGGGGTCAGAAGTTAAAACCAGCCTGGCCAACATGCTGAAACCCCATCTCTACCAAAAATATAAAAAATAGCTGGGTGTGGTGGCAGGCACCTGTAATCCCAGCTACTGGGGAGGCTGAGGCAGGAGAATCTCTTGAACCTGGAAGGCTGAGGTCGCAGTGAGCCGAGATTGAGCCACTGCACTCCAGCCTGGGTGACAGAGTGAGTGAGATTCCATCTCAAAAAAAGAAAAAAAAAAAAAAGATATTTAAGAGACCTATCACCTAAATGTAAAGAGTGGATCTTGTCTGGCACCTTATTCAAATATACAAACTGTTTGAACAATTATAAGATGAATGGGGAAATTTAAATAATGACTGTGTTTGATATTTTAAAATCATGTCTTAGGTGTGATGATGGCAGGGGATTTTTTTTAAGCCCTTATCTATAAGTGCAGAGTCTCATCCCAGTCAATTTTTTTTTTTTTTTTTTTTTTTTTTGAGACAGAGTCTCGCTCTGTCACCCAGGCTGGAGTGCAATGGCACAATCTCGGCTCACTGCAGCGTCCATCTCCCAGGTTCAAGTGATTCTCCTGCCTCAGCCTCCTGAGTAGCTGGGATTACAGGTGCCTGCCACCTCGCCTGGCTAATTTTTGTATATTTGGTAGAGATGGGGTTTTACCATCTTGGCCAAGCCCCAGTCTTGAACTCCTGATCTCAGGTGATCTGCCCATCTAAGCCTATAGGCATGACCACCCCATCTGGCCACCTGAGCATTCTTCACGTTTGAGGCTGGCTAATTCTTTGTTGTGGTAGGCGGTCCCATTGCACTGAGACATAAGCGGCATCCCTCACCTCCACTCACTTAGATTCCTACAGCACCTCTTTCATCAGGCCAATAAAAAATATCTCCAGCCGGGCGCGGTGGCTCAAGCCTGTAATCCCAGCACTTTGGGAGGCTGAGGCGGGTGGATCACGAGGTCAAGAGATCGAGACCATCCTGGTCAACATGGTGAAACCCCGTCTCTACTAAAAATACAAAAAATTAGCTGGGCATGGTGGTGCGTGCCTGTAATCCCAGCTACTCAGGAGGCTGAGGCAGGAGAATTGCCTGAACCCAGGAGGCGGAGGTTGCAGTGAGCCGAGATCGCGCCATTGCACTCCAGCCTGGGTAACAAGAGTGAAACTCCGTCTCAAAAAAAAAAAAAATCTCCAAACAGGCAAGTATCTTCTGTGATAGGAAACCGTGTTAGAGATACATACTTAATTATTTATGGTTAAAATGATACTAAACCTGGGTTTTGTCAAAATAACCCAAGAGGGCTTGGACAGAGGTAGAGGCAAAACAAGCTTAACTGGGTGTTGATAACTGTTGGGCTGGATGGTGGTCATTATACTATTCCCCATTTATATGTTCGAAGTTCCCTGTAATAAAAGTTAAAAGATTGTAGCACCAAAGGAGAATTAAAATATTTCTGTTTTCCCAAAGCATATTAACATGTTGGATTAAATAAGCTGTCTTGAAGTTAAAGGTTATGAGTATAACTGAGTTACTTTAAATGTCTTGGTAAAGCCCCTTACCTGCTTCCCAAGTCCTGAGAAAGTGAATAATGATTGCATACATAATAAATTATTATGCAAATTAGGTCATTATCTTTTTTAAAATTTTTGTTTTCAACCAAATTGGAGGACCTATTTGTTATAATTTATTATAAATCATTGAGTGTTTTTGGATTAGTAACAAAGGAGTCCTAAGAAATGGGTCACATCGCTATAACAAAACACCTCAATGTTTCTCAGAGCGAGTACATTTATGAAAATGGAAATGGAATTGGTCATGGGCCCCATCTCATTCTAGCAAGAGTATTTATCTACAGTTTTTAAAATTTCGTTTTAGAAGACCTTCATTTATCTCATCAAGAAATGCATTTCATTAGACACTAATGACAAAATAACAAAAAATAATGCATTTCAAATATCTTTTAGAATTGTCAAGATAAAATATTACATTACTGGGCTGGGTGCGGTGGCTCACGCCTGTAATCCCAGCACGTTGGGAGGCCGAGGCAGGCGACTCACGAGATCAGGAGTTCGAGACCAGCTTGACCAACATGGTGAAACCCTGTCTATACTAAAAATACAAAAATTAGCCGGGTGCGGTAGTGCGTGCCTGTAATCTCAGCTACTCAGGAGGCAGAGGCAGGACAATCGCTTGAACCCAGGAGGCAGAGGTTGCAGTGAGCCAAGATTGCTATTGCGCCACTGCACTCCAGCCGGGGTGACAGAGCAAGACTCTCTCTCAAAAAAAGAAAAAAGATTTCCAATTAAGAGCTTTGTTCAGGCACCTTTAAAATGAATGAAGGTGGGTTCCATTTGATATTTTTATGAAGTAATTTTTATACTGAAACTCACATGCTGGCAGGTACTATATGATTTCAACATTAAAAATTTGTCAAACTGAATATGTGTGAAGGGATGTATACGTTTTCCCAAATTCTTTTTAGGAATACACAGGCGAAAAAGAATGAGCAGCAGGGCTGTGAAGGCCATCTCCCTCTCTGTGGGTGCAGTGGCAGCAGCAGCAGCTGGGATCCATGGCCTTCACTCTGCCACTCATTCCAGGTTCCATCTTACTTTCCTACTCTGATTTTTTCTTTTATTTATTTATTTTTTGTGAGACAGGGTGTCGCTGTTACCCAGGATGGAGTGCAGTGGTGCAATCATGGCTTACCACAGCCTCAACCTTCTGGGCTCAAGCAATCCCTGCCTCAGCCTCCTGAGTAGTTGGGACTACAGGTGCATGCCAGCTAACTTTTGAATTTTTTGTAGAGACAGGATTTCACCATGTTGGCCAGGCTGATCTGCAACTCCTGACCTCAAGCGATCCACCCACCTTACAGGACAACGTGGAGCATGTTATCACATTTCAGGTTTCAATGACAAAGCTAGCAGACAGCATCATTTCCATTTCAGAATGAGAAACGTGGGGCTCCCGGCACCTTCCCCAGTCACCAGGAGAGTCATGCTTTTCCCTCACTCTTCCTCAGAGGTGCATGGGGTCACTTCTAACCAATTGCACAAATCATGACCTCCAATTTTTCATTGTCTGTTTTAGAATTATTGTTTACCCTCTTTTTTTTTTCTCTTTTTTTGAGACAGTCTTGCTCAGCCGCCCAGGCTGGAGTGCAATGGCACATTCTTGACTCACTGCGACTTCCACCTCTCAGGTTCAAGAGATTCTCCAGCCTCAGCCTCCTGAGTAGCTGTGTTTACAGGAGCACACCACCACATCTGGCTAATTTTTAAAAAATTTTTGCCAGGTCTAGTGGCTCACGCCTGTAATCCTAGCACTTTGGGAGGCCAAGGTGGGTGGATCACCTGGGGTCAGGAGTTCAAGACCAGCCTGGCCATCATGGAGAAACCTCATCTTTAAAAATAAAAAAAAAATTAAAAAAAATTTTTTTTTTAGTAGAGATGAGGTTTCGCCCTGTTGGCCAGGCTGGTCTCAAACTCCTGACCTCAGGTGATCTGCCTGCCTCGGCCTCCCGAAGTGCTGGGATTACAGCTGTGAGCCACCGCACCCAGCCCCCTCTTCTTTTTTTTTTCCTGCTGTGACTTACTTTTTCCACCTTCAACATCCCCTAGTCTTTCCTGGTGACTTGCAGGTAACATAGAAGCCCCCTAAGGGGCGCCCTCTGTGTGCTCAACACCTAGTGTGTCAGTTAAGAAAAGGTGAAATGCTGTTGCAATTTTAAACTTTCCACCATTAGTTAATCAGAATTAAGTGACAAATAATGTTTGCTTTCCCCACCCCCATCTTTTTATGGGGATGGTAACTTAAGCATATCCATTAAAAAGGTTGAAGTCACACATTCACACATTAAAAATCACTTTGAGACACTTAGTGATTGAACAGTGGACTTATGTTTTCCCCTTTAAAAGAAAGGGGTTATTTGCTGTTGTGGTTACTATTACATCTCACTCTACTCAAGATGTGTAGCCAACTGTTAACAACGAAACCGAGAAAAACACAAACAACGAACAAATGACCTTTTATTTCATACAGAGATACAAAGGCAATTGTGGGCAGCAACAATCTGATGGGCAGTCCGGATTCTTGGGAGGAAGTAAATTCATGGTAAATGTCATGATGTCTGGTCTAGGAGAAGGTCAAAGGAGGAGGAGAGAGGGGACAGAAGGCTACCGCTAATAAATAACAGTGTTGAAAACTGCATGGTTTCAATGCCAGGAGTCTTTTAGGTATCTTCTATGCCATTAAAACCATACTTCTACATCATCATCATCAACATTCTTGAAGCGCATTAGCAGTTCTGTTAAGGGACTATAATCCTTACAAATAATTGACAGTTTTTATTGAAGGAGCTGTCAACTCTGCTCATTATTGCCTGCCTTGGATGTGGCCTTTGGGACTGACAGCCTCTTTTAAGGAAACATGGTTGACACACTTTGGTTGGTCCCAGTTTTTGAGGCAATGCTAGTTGTAATAGCATCATCCTTTAATCTGAGGAAACATTTATTTAAAAAAAACCTGTCTTCCAAAACACAACAAAAAACAAGGTCAGGGTAGTGGTGAATCCTTCCATGGCACTCCACGCCTCCCTGTGGGCTGTAACCATGGACCTGAGTCAAGAGTCTCATAAAAAGACTTCTCCAATGCATTTATAATAGGGACACACCACATAGCTTGTTATTCATTCAAACAGTTTATTGGCTTTAAATGTACATCAGTAAATTTTTAAATGCTAAAAATTTATGATAAAAGAATACCGAACCAAAACATAAAAGACAATAGAGGCTCAGCAGCATGATTTTAATATCTTTTCCTGGATAAACAGATTTTTTAAAAAGTATATTACTTTTTATCCAAGAACAAAAGCTTCCTAAATTCAACGTTTAGAACTGATTTTTCTTCTTTTTTTTAATAAGCCCAGAAAACTGGGGGTCATAAAATAAAGGCACAATGTGGGCAGCAAAAGAAAAAAGGGAGAAAAATTGGTTTCAATCTCACATGTAACAAAAGTTGACTGGTTTTGTTTTTGTTTTAGACAATTTAAGGCAGAATTATTTCTCTGCAATCCTGCAGATAAATCCTAGTGTTTTAGTTATAAGTCTCAAGAGTTCAGATATACAGATAAACCAATCTAAAAAACCTTTTTCTTATTCTAAGGCTTTTGATGCATTATATAAATCTTTAAAATTCCTATCACCCACGTTTTAAAAAATACATCTATACTTCGATAAGACACTCTTCAGATATAAAAGTTTTAAAAACAAAGACAATTCTACACTAGGGCCAACTCTTTCCTCTGCCAGAGGGATGGAGTGAATTGTCTCTTTGAATCAAGTCAATCTCTGGGCACCAACACAAACAGGCAGCTGTCTTCGCCCATTCTGAATTTACCTAAGTAGCTGAATTTTATCAACCGCACTCTCCCATCCACTAGATGGAGAGTTACACAAACAGAATTGCCCAAGTTTGTTGATGAAATTTAAAAACAATATCTCCTTTTTTCTAGAAATGGATCCTTTGAACATACAACAGTCACTTCTATTAGCTCCTGTCCATAAAGAAAAGCACAATGGGAGAGAAGCAGTGATCCTCATATCCTTCAACTTTCCTGATAGGACAGAAATAGAAAGGAACTTGACTTTTAAATGACAACCTAACAGCTGTTAACAACATGACATTTACTTTTAAATGACAACCTAACAATCGTTAAGAACATGACATTTTAGTTGTATGTCTTACGCATGTGTGTCATTGGTGCTAATAGCTTCCACTTCTAAATGACAAAAATTTGAGTCCTACCATCCCTATTGCTAATTAAAGCAAACACCAAAGCTTACAATATAGTAATGCAACCTCTAAGACTGTAACAACACAGAAATTTTAGTGGAGTTTCCACTCTTTCCTAAGTAATGGAAGAAAATGAAGAATCCAGAAAGGCCAGACTAAGCCTGAATTTCACTATGAAAAAAGGGTAACAAATGTCCCATCAGAGGGAGAGGAGTTAAAAATGTGGCATCGGGAGTGCATCAGATTGAGGGGTCGTTGTGGCCTAGGTCTTTGCTTCCAGTGAGTAAAGAAGGACCTAGAAAGGCAGCTGGGGGTGCTTCTTTCCTTCGTCCTTCTGGGCTGGCAGCAAGTAACCAATTACTTCCCGTAGAACTTTTTGTTGAGAAGGAAGATCAGGAGGTTGACATTTACTTTAGCTCTATCAAATAATTTCATGACTGCAACTCCTTCGTATTGTAGCTGCAACAGGTCCTATTTTAAAAAACAAAACATTGTGACAGTGAATCAAGTCTGTGGAACAAGGAAAAAGGGCGTGATGTAGGGAGAATCCAGATGGGCTGAGGCTGCCTTGTGCGCCAGATGTGAAATGGGGCCACAGAGAAGCTCCTAGCTAGGAAACTACCCACTGCGCAACCAGCCTGAGCGCTGCAGCAACAGGGTGCGCTGGCCAAGGGAGTCTTCCGGTTAATTTGGAGTTAGGAAGTCATGTTGTTCATATCAAAATTAATCATACAGGGAAAGAAAAAGAAACATGTTCAGTTGCCACACAACATCCAAGCTTTTGATTTCAGAAGTCACACTGACATTTTCACATTTCATCCAGGTTATGGGTCACTAGTTTTAATAAATCTGGAAAAGGCGAAGGCATTGAAACCTATGATGAAATGTACTAAGCACAGGAAATGAGACAAGGCTAGTAATGTTATCTCAATACTATCTGCTAGACTCTTCATTTCTGTTCCACACAAGAACATTTTCTGTCCTGAAGGCAAGGGAAAAGGAGAGAACTTGGTGCTTTATTAGCATAATGTGCTCGGGCACTGCGTAAGCACATTATGTAGCATCTTTTAAAGTCCTCACAAATTTTTATGAGGTGTGACTATCCTAACTTTAAAGATAAACTACTGAGGCTCAGAGATGTTAAATGACTTGCACAACAGGACAGAGAGGGACATGGTAAATCCAGATCCGACTGCAAAGCTCCTGTTTTTCCTGCTATCTTCTCCACTGGTCCTAAACAAGTTTATGAAATCTGAGTGGTCCCACTTCTAAAATTTGGAAGAGTGGTGAGGAGAAAGCAAGGGTCAAAGGGCTTGAAAGGGCCCCACAAGGCTGGGTGCGGTGGCTCACGCCTGTAATCCGAGCACTTTGGGAGGCCGAGGCAGGCGGATTAGGAGGTTAGGAGTTCAAGACAGCTTGGCCAACATGGTGAAACCCCGTCTCTACTAAAAATATAAAAAATAGCCAAGCGTAATGGTGCTTGCCTATAATCCCAGCTACTCAGAAGGCTGAGGCAGGAAAATCACTTGAACTCGGGACGTGGAGGTTGCAGTGAGTGGAGACTGCACCACTGCATTCAAGTCTGGGTGACAGGGTGAGACTAGATCTCAAAAAAAAAAAAAAAAAAAGAAAGGACCCTGTAAGTTCAATCATCTGCTGGAAAAATCCTAGCAGCTCCATGAGGGCTGCTGGGACCTGTGCCTAATACAATACTCAAACCTGGCAGTCACCCCACATTGAATAAACTACCATAGGCAGACTGGTTGGCCTAACACAAATTGGTTAAAAAATTAAAAAATAAAAATATGTTCTGACAGCACCATGTAAATAAAACATTTTTTAAATTAAAAAAATAATTTGGTGAAGCTGAGGGAATAAGAGGTTCCTTTTTCTTTGGTGGAAGTACTTTAGTTAGCTATGTGCATCACAAAATCATTTCACATTGTTTAGCTAACATGTTTTAATGGTCTACTGGTCACTGAGAAGGAAACAAAGATGACTAAGAAATACTACCTGTCCTTAAGGAGTTTATGGCCTTAGTGGGGAGAAGGGAAATAAGTCAACACCTACTGTAAACAGAGGATGTCTGCAAGGGCTACAGAAGCAAAGGGGAAACCACCTATTATGGCTTGGCTGGGGGAGGCACACACAGGCAAGTACTCCACAAAAGATGGAGGAACAAAAGGGGCGGGTTGGGACGCAGGGGTGGAAGGGAGGGAGGGAGGGGAGGGGAGGGGAGGGGAGAGGAGGGAGGGCAGCATGAGCAGAAGCCCAAATGCACACTCACAGGAAGGCACCTACCTGCCTGGGCTGGCAGAGCATGGTTGTGTAAAGCAGTGCAAGAAAAAAGGAGCAGACTGTCTGGTGCCACACACACAAAGCTACAGGAGTCGGATGCCGCCTAGGAATCCTCACAATGTCCTGCTATTTTGTAACAGGTAAAAAGCAGATATTTCTAAACAAAAACTAGGGAACTTTAGGCTACAAAGTGAGTCACTTCTGAGTTCTTTTTGGATTTAATATAGGATTCAGTTTACAAACAAAATTTACACACACCTCGTCAGAAGTGTCTCTAACCTTTAAGCACCTATATCAAATCAAAATGAGAAAAAAGATTTCAAGCTGAGTGGGCTTACAATTTTGCAATGTCAGCATGCGTACTTAAGCGTTTTGTTCAAGTCCAAGGTATCCGCTCTATTTAGTGGCGCACTAAGTGGAAGCTTCAGATAAATGTTTTCTGAGGATTTACATTTGCAAAAGCTCTCCAGGGCACACACACCAAACCAGACACCCTGAAACCCTCAGCTTCCTTCCCCAGCGTGGAGCCTAGCTTACTGCTGAATGGAGACAGCTTTCCTCAAGTGAGTCTCCTCTTTGTCTATTTCTCCTACTTGGACAAGAATCTCAGAGAAAGCTTTCAGTTCTACTGGTGCCTACCCACCTGATAATGTAACATAAAAGTCTCCATTTGAACTCCCATGAATTTGGCCTTCACTTCAAAGTCTCCGACTTCTTCTGTTGGACTGATTTCAAAGATAACATTTTTAAACCTGTTGAAACATAACATCATAAGGGTGTGGTTTTTATGTTCTCATATAAAAATATTCTGTGAAATGGGGAAATGAGATAAACCAAGTCTTCAAGGGTGCAAATGGGTAGAAAATACAAGTGGAAAGTCCTTCTGCAGCGGAAGCAGCCGGATTACCACGCCTAGGTCCCATCTGCTCTGGGACTTGGAGAGAGGAATGGCAACCTCTTTCTGCCTGCAGCACTTGCATGCTATGAAAGAGGAACCACTGGGGAGTGCCACAAGTAGCCTGAGAAGGGATGACAGCACAGAAATTCTCTTCACTTCCACAAGGCCGAAAATGAAACCTAATGATAAAAGGAGAAAATAGAGGAAAGTGGGCTGGAAGGAGAGGGTATGTGCGTGTGAATACACACATGTTTGAGGACTGGGAGAAGTAAATAAACGAAAGAGGGTCAGTAAAAAAACACCAAGGGAGGTGGTTTTCTAGAAAGAGTAGGTGCCGTGTATATAAGCACACTCAGTATAACCAAAGATAAATTGTTATTATTAAAAATATTTATCACTCATTCACAACATGTAATATGTCAGGAAATTTTGGGGGGAGGGGGCAAAAGAAAAAGGGATTATGATATTCTCTGGGTGATCAAAGTATAGCACCCCAGGTTTCCAGAACTCAACTATGGAGCTACCTTACCTATTATGAACAGAGCTGAGAACCATGACGGATGTAAAAGGGTCACTGAGAGCTAAACGAGAAGTCACAAAAACCCACACACTGAAATACACACGCAACCAGAACGCCACACAGGTTACTCCTTAAAGATATTTATCTTAAGTGATAAATAATTTTAACAGATTTAGTTGGTTATTTAGTTTCTAAGCCTAAAGAAGCAAATTAAAAGGAAGAAAGAAAGGCAGATAGAGGTAGGCACTTGAACAGTAGTGGAAAATAATGACGAAAGAAGGGAAATGTTGGGTGCGGAGACTCATGTCTGTAATCTTGGCACTTCGGGAAGCCAAGGCAGGAGCACTGCTTGAGCCCAGGAGTTCAAGGCCAGCCTGGGCAACAAAGTGAAACCCTGTCTCTACAAGATATAATTAATTGGGTGTGGTGGCATTCGCCTATGGTCCCAGCTACGTGGGAGGCTTAGGTGGGAGGATCTCTAAGTCCAGGAGGTTAGTGCTGTAGTAAGCTGTGATCACACCAATGCACTTTAGTCTAGGTGACAAGAGCAAGACTCTGTCTCTAAAAAAAAAAAATTAAAATTAAAAATTATATACTCATTAAAAAGGATGCTTTCAATGAATATAAACAATGCTCACAGTATAATGTGTAAGAAAAAAGTTGGATACATGACCATAAACAGTACTGTCCTAGTTTGTTAAAAAATATTAAGTGGTTAGAGGGTAGGTGTAATGGGTCATGCCTATAATTCCAGCACTTTGGGAAGCTGAGGAGGGTAGATGACTTGCGCTCAGGAGTTCAAGACCAGCCTGGCCAACATGGTGAAACACAATTATCTGGGTATGGTGGCAGGCACCTGTAATCCAAGCTACGTGGGAGACTGAAGCAGGAGAATCACTTGAACTTGGGAAGTGGGGGTTGCAGGGAGCTGAGATTGTGCCACTGCACTCCAGCCTGGGCGACAGAGCGAGATTATTTCAAAAAAAATTTTAAAAAGGCCTGTAATCCCAGCACTTTAGCAGGCTGAGCTGGGCAGATCATATGAGGTCAGGAGTTTGAGATTAGCCTGGCCAACATGGTAAAAACCCATTTCTACTAAAACCACAAAAACTTAGCTGGGTGTTGTGGTACACGCCTGTAGTGCCACCTACTCAGGATGCTGTGGCGGGGGAATTAACCCGGGAGGCCGAGGCTGCAGTAAGCTGAGATCACACCACTGTACTCTAGCCTGGGTGACAGAGAGACTGTCAATAAAATAAAATAAAATAAAATAAAATAAAATAAAATAAATACATATATAAAGTAGTTAGATAAAACAAGTGGGTGAGTCACGGATAATCTTTATGTGAATAGAAAAAAATATATTAAAACAATTTCAGTGGTTATCTCTGGCTTGTGGAATTACAGGTGTTTTCTTTTTTATGCTTTACCATATTTCAAAGTTTAATAATGAATGCAGGCTGGGCGCGGTGGCTCAAGCCTGTAATCCCAGCACTTTGGGAGGCCGAGGCGGGTGGATCACGAGGTCAAAAGATCGAGACCATCCTGGTCAACATGGTGAAACCCCGTCTCTACTAAAAATACAAAAAATTAGCTGGGCATGGTGGCGCATGCCTGTAATCCCAGCTACTCAGGAGGTTGAGGGAGAAGAATTGCCTGAGCCCAGGAGGCGGAGGTTGTGGTGAGCCGAGATTGCGCCATTGCACTCCAGCCTGGGTAACAAGAGCGAAACTCCGTCTCAAAAAAAAAAAAAAAACAAACAAACAAACAAAAAAAAACAAATAATGAATGCATATTATTTTAGAATCAGAAAATGTAAAAGGTTATTTTTTTCTGAAGTGTTTTGTTTTTCCCCCCCCAAACAGAGGTCACAGGGGTGACTAAGGAGACGGATGCTCAATAAATGCTGGCTGGGTGCGGTGGCTCAAGCCTGTAATCCCAGCACTTTGGGAGGCCGAGGCGGGTGGATCACGAGGTCGAGAGATCGAGACCATCCTGGTCAACATGCTGAAACCCCGTCTCTACTAAAAATACAAAAAATTAGCTGGGCATGGTGGCGCGTGCCTGTAATCCCAGCTACTCAGGAGGCTGGGGCAGGAGAACTGCCTGAACCCAGGAGGCGGAGGTTGCGGTGAGCCGAGATCGCGCCATTGCACTCCAGCCTGGGTAACAAGAGCAAAACTCCATCTCAAAAAAAAAAAAATAATAATAATAATAAATAAATAAATAAATGCTTGCTAATGATGCTGGGCCCAGGACCTATGGGAGGATGACACATCCGGTCCGTGAACCATGTGCAAAGCAAGATGATACTTCCCAGAAAAGAAAATGAAGATAAGTGACTGTTTGTAGCTGTAAGTGGAATAAAGCAAACTCCTCTTATTGTTACGCTTAATTTATTCTTGGTTCAGAAACAGAAGAAATCCACGGAATGGTCCTGCTTTAATGAGGAAAAATTAAGATCAAACCCAAACAAAGAAGTAAACATGTTCTGAGACAAATGTTCTGCAGAAAAGGAAAAGAAAAACTCTTTTATGACAAATTAACTCTGAGTGTGAGGCCTAATTCTACACATAGCAGTATGTAAATAAATAACATTAAAAGTAATCACCCAGAAAAGAGAAATGAAGACAAAAAGACAAAGATGTGATAAATGCAGAAATAAAAATCAGCTTATAAAAGAAAAAGCAAAGACTCACTGATTCACTTGCAGGTCCTCAATTTCCAGAAGAACTCCCTTTTCATGCAGTCTTGCTGCTGTATATTTCAGAGAAATCTTTTTGCTTTTCTTTCCTTTCATTTCCCTAGGCTTTTTAGAGACTCTGCAAAAAAATCACATCATGTCATTTTCTATAAGTAACCATCTACTATGAATCTTCATCACTGGTAACTGAAGGAAACAAGGTCAGAAACCAAACTTCCAGACATAAACATAAGTAACATACCAATTCTAAAATGGCAAACAAATGGTAGAATTAGCCTAAGCAATACCTCCGCAAAACAGGGGAAAATTACCAAATTGCTTCCATTTTGAGTTTAAATTATATTTGAGAACACTCCCATGAAATTAACAGAGTCTTAATTCTCCTATGTCCTTCTGGGAAATTAAGCGCCTAACAAGTAACTACGAGAGCTTCTCATGGCAGCCTGAGGGAATGGCACTGAATCCCAGGAGCGAAGGAGTTATTCTAAGCCCCTTGGCTGTGTAGGGAAAAAATACAAATACCATCAAATAAACACTTTGTACGAGCATTTAAGCCAGCACAGGAATTACAGATGAATGAAAACAAGGAAAAAGAAACAGGTTAGGAGGCTATTAGGATAATTTAGGCAAGAAGTGGTAACTTCAGAAATATGCCCACATTTTTAAAATAACATATGTACAAGAGGTTATTAGCTGCAGAATTTAAAAAATAACAACAAACAACTGTAAACAACTTAAATGTTCATCAATGGAGAACTGTTTAAGCAAACTGTTGTATCTATCTGTATAATGGAATAATATGCAGCATTAAAAAAGAAATGAGAATCTAGGTGTGTCTGCTTAGAAGGCCTGGAGGCCATAACAAATCTGGCAACGAACACACCTAGTGTCTAGATCTTGGTTTCTAAATATCATTCTTCCTTTAAAGAAACCAGGGATGCTGGGAGAAACAGTTCATTCTGGGCCTGGGGAGGGGAAACTACAGCTTGAACATGACACATCTTGTGACAGAAACTCAGGTAGTACACAAAGAATGATGGGAACATGTCGAAAGCTCACAGGAGTCAGCTCTGCAAGCCGGGTTAGGTGCACCTGTTTTTCGTCCCTTCCCATCAGCCCTACCTGACCCCAGGGAGTCTTCCAGGAGAAAGAGAAAAACAGAGTACATGTACGAGCCGGAGAGACGGGGAGCAGATATGGCAAAATGTTAAAAACGGATGAATCTAGGTGAAGGGCATATGGGTGCTTATTGTTCTATTCATTCAGTCTTTCTGAGATTTGAAAACTGTTAAAAAGGAATAAATAAACTAACCCTACAAGGAAAATCTGCTCTTGCCACCCCACCTCTCTGGTTTTTCAGTTCCCTCCCTGTAAAATGGGCATGCTGATAGTCTGTGGCCAGTGCCAAGAAGGCTGGATGAGACTTTCCTTAGCACCCAGGAAAAAATCAGAGCCTATAATCTTGTCCCCAAAAAGTATAGAAAGGGAAAGGGGATCCAAATTTGTATAATATTCCTTAAGTGATTTGGGGACCACTAGATGATCTTCTTCCACGATTTTAATTTCTAGGACCAAGAAGATTTTTTTTTTTTTTTTTTGAGACGGAGTCTTGCTCTGTCGCCCAGGCTGGATTCTCCCAGGTTCAGGTAATTATCCTGCCTCATCCTTCCAAGTAGCAGGGACTACAAGCGCGTGCCACCACGCCCAGCTCATGTTTGTATTTTTAGAAGAGATGGGATTTCACCATGTTGACCAGGTTGGTCTTGAACTCCTGACCGCAAATGATACAGTTGCCTTGGCCTCCCAAAGTGCTGGGATTATAGGTGTGAGTCACCTTTCCTAGCCCCAAAAAGGTATTTTGCAAAAGGAATACTTAGCAACAAGCATCCATGAAATCCCACACTCCACACACTAACAAATAGAACTACACAATTTTACAGAAAATTGAGGCAAAATAAAAGACTAATAGAATATATAGATCCAGTGTATTTTAAGCAAAAATCTCCAATGTCACTTCAGTTGCCTCTGCTTTTTCCTCACTCTAATAATTCTTTTCCCTGACATTGATTCTTATAAAAGAAAAAATACTCACTTGCCCTTGCTGGCTAAGTTATCCAAGCAGGTTTTGATATAGCTTTTATAGTAATCCACCTGCTCCCCATAGAAGGTGGCCTTCGAGTTCAGAGCAGCATATGTTTGCTGCAGTTTCACAAGTTCAGCCTTTCTCCTCTGTCGGTACCGCCGCTGATTCCGAATATCCTGAGACATAATTATTAAAGTTAGAAAAACGACAGGTACGATGCACTTCTTGAGTCATTATCATTTCATGCCAGAATCCAGCAATACTTAACTCTCTCTTAAATATGACTATACAATTTGTTTTTTTGAGACAGAGTCTTGCTCTGTTACCCAGGCTGTAGTGTGCAGTGGTTGAAATCATGGCTTATTGTAGTCTTGACCTCCCAGGCTCAGGTGATCCCCCAACCTCGGCTTCCAGAGTAGCTGAGACTTACAGGCACATGGCACCACACCTGGCTAATTAAAAAAATTTCTTTTGTAGAGATGGGGTCTCAACTGATCCTCCTGCCTTGGTCTCCGAAAGTGCTGAGATTCCAGATGTGAGCCACTGTGCCTGGCTTAACCATACGTTCAACAGGCAGTAATTCGTTTTCACAAATTAAGAGAGAAATTAAGATCTCAAATTTTCTTCCCTCATTTGTATCTTCTAGTAGGGAAATGTGTTACATTTAGACTTACACATTTTTAGAATTTACTTGCAAAGCTGGTTTGGACCTCTTAAATATTTTGTTGGGACAGGGAGAAAAAGAGAATTATAATACATCAACTACCAGTTCCCAGATGTGCATAATATATGATCTTAGTGTAACAGCAGAGCACACCTAAACTCTTAGTTCTCACCAAAGCTCCTCAGCTTGAGATGATTCACACAAATCAAGGATTTTATGATCAGCTTGATGTGAATTTATATTTCACAGTAATCATGAAAAAGATTTGGAAGAATTATTTAAGGCCAAAGACAAATTCTTTAGGGCCACAGGAGGCTCCAGTTAAGGTCTTCTCCTTAGTAATTTAGGAAATGGAATAAGCCACCTCAGGGTCAGCAAGGCCCTCATGCTGGAGAGTCAGACATGGTTTCTTAGAGAGGAGGACACTAATGCGTCATAAACTGAAGCTACGCTGGTATCTGAACAACTACTGTCTCTTTATGAGCCCCTTGGCTTTCAACAAGGCCAGGTCCCCTCTGTCCCCCAAATGCAGTACCCTGGCAATGTCATTGATCAGTTCCTGGTATTTGTTTTTTGGGTCCACAGTTCCAAGCTCTGTTAGCTTCTTTAAACCTGTCTGGATTTTCTCTTTCTTCTCCTGAAGAGTGAGGTTGCTGTCTTCCTTTGCAGATTTTGATTTTTTCATTTTGTCGGGAGTTTTGGCATCACGAATAGCACGTCTCTGCATGGCTCTCTGATGTTCTGCTTCCTAAAGATGGGAAAAAGAAGTTCTCAGCAAGTTTACCACACTAATCCTAAACTTGAATCCGCACTTACACAGTTTGAAAAATCCAACCTGGAAACAGAAGGAAACAAATTCTACCCCCTGCTAAGTGCTAGATGAGAAACTGCATGAAGCAGAGGCACATCTCTTTCTCCCTGTGAGAGATGATATCTACACAATCACACAACCGCTTAGGGCTTCTCTCCTGAACTCCAGGTCCAATTGTGAGACTGGACTCTAATGGCTACAAAGTCATTTTTCTCTACCACATTTTGAGACACAGAAGCCATTTCATTTTATTCAGAACTTAGCTGTATAAATGTTATAACTACACGAATACAACACAACCAGTGCTCAGTGAATCCTTGATAATTCTTTTTGTCACTTTGTCCAGGTGGAATCATGCTCAAGCCTGGCATCCGCTTTCAAACATGCTGTAGACGCTACATCGCAATAGGGAAACACCTTCCCTGATACTGCCATCCTTCATAGTGGCCATCCAATATCTGTCACTGTCCAACATATGATCTACACTCACTGTTCCATTCTTTCAGCACTTTCTTTTTTCTTTCTTTTTTTTTTTGAGACAGAGTCTCGCTCTGTTGTCCAGGCTGGAGTGCAACGGCGCGATCTTGGCTCACTGCAACTTCTGCCTCCCAGGTTCATGCAATTCTCCCTGCCTCAGCCTCCTGAGTAGCTGGGATTACAGGTGCCCACCACCACACCCAGCTAATTTTTGTATTTTTACTTGAGATGGGGTTTCACCATGTTGGCCACGCTGGTCTTGAATTCCTGACCCCAGGTGATCCCTCCACCTCAGCCTCCCTAAGTGCTAGGATTACTAGTGCCCAGCCTCAGCACTTTCTGCTTTACTGCTCTCATCACCAATTACCATTCTCCCATCGAAAATCCAATGTTTTTTTCTTAGTTGTTACCTTGCTCATCCTCTCGCTCTGCACAGGGTTTGGTACTTCCAAGTGACCTGTGGCCATTTCTTTCTGTTTACTCTCAATACTTCAATGACTGCCTCTGTGTTGACAGATCCCAAATCTTTGTGACTATGGCTCTGGTGCCATATCCTGAACTGTTTGTACTGGGATGTTTCCATTTGGGATGGCCTATAGTTCAAACTTGTAATTCCCCCGTAAGTGGGACAGTTCCCTTTCCCAATATTTCCTTTTTTCCCCCCTAATGTCAAGACTACCCTGCATCGCATAATGTAAGGAGCATAAGCTTTGGAGGCAGACGGAAGAGGATCCAACTCTGGTTCTGTCACTACAAGCTGATGATCTTGGCCAGTTAACCTTTAAGGGTCTTCGTTTCCTCATCCATAAAATAAGGATGAAAAAACTCAACTCAAAGGAATACTGCAAGGATTAAATGAAAGAACAGAGGGGAAAGCACCAAAAGAATACTAGGTTCTCAATAAAGACTGGCTCCTCCTTTCTTACTTCAAACTTCTTTGCAGGTTCAACATGTTTCAAGTATTGTTTTATATGTCCTTACTTGCCTTTCACACATATCTCATCGGTAATCAGTCATGGCAACTGAGAGCTGAGAATTCATTTAAGACAATGGTTTCCAAACAGTTCCCTGTGCAGCCTTAAGGGTTTGCTGGAGGTACCACAGAATCCTATAGGGCTGGGTTTCAGATGCCCTATTCCTAGCTATCAGCGTAGCTTCAGAGTGGCAGAGTACCTGCTTTACATACTTGGCTTCTAGGTAAGTTGTCATGTAATAAAACATTACCATGCTCAAAATTTGAAAATGAATGACTTGACCTACTTTCCTTATTTGACAACTAAGAAACAGGTCTTCGGCCAGGTGCAGTGGCTCATGCCTGTCATCCCAGCACTTTGAGAGGCCTAGGTAGGCAGGTCACTTGAGGTCAATGAGCCTGGCCAACATGGTGAAACCCCAACTCTACTAAAAATATAAACATTAGTCAGCTGTGGTGGTGGCATGAGCCTGTAGTCCAGCTACTCGGGAGGCTGACGCAGGAGAGTCACTTGCACCCAGGAGGCAAAGGTTGCAGAGAGCCAAAATGACTACACTGCAGTCCAGCCTAGATGACAAAGTGAGACTCTGTCTCAAGCTAAAAAGAAAAAAAAAAAGAAAAAAGAAACAAAGGTCTTAGATAGGACATGACTCATCCAGCCCTTCACAATGCCAGGTCCTGACCCCCATCCGCCCACCCCACTGGACCTTATCACACACCTAGAAGACTCAACTACCATCTACTCTGCTGGTACTGCTGAATTAATTAACATTAAATGGTCTTGAACCTTACAGAGGCTCTTTATTCCTTATCTCTGCAGTGCCAAATTCCCAACTAGCTTGTGAGTTCTAAATAATTTGATCTCATGTTTTCTCTCTCACTGCTCGCCTCCACCTACAGCTTCATTCTAGCCACAGGGTCTGGTTGCATCACGTTCCTCCTGCTTTGTTCCTCTGCTCACGTCGCTCTCCTGCCTTGAGTGTCCTCTCTTGTCTTACCTGCACATCCAACTCCTATCCACCTTTATACGTCTGGCTCCACTTCCACTTCTTTTAGGCAGCTTTCCTAATGTACTGCTTCACTGGCCTCTTTCCTGAACTGCTATCAATTTTAATCAATATCACAGTTAATTTTGAATGGTTTCATCACTGCCTCAGGTATATATGTCACACTTCCCTAACAAGATCATGAGTTCACTGAGCTTAGGAGCCACATTCTGTACTTTTCTTCTACCTACCAAAGCATTTAACAGAATTCCAACCATATAATATTCAATAAACGGCAAAAGAAATCCCTACACATTCATGGTTTCAACCAACCCTGGATCAAAACTATTTGAAACAAAAATAACAACAACAAAAAATAATACAAAATTTAAAAATACAGTAACAATTATTTACTTTGCATTTATATTGCAGTAGGTATTATAAGTAGTTTAGAGATGATTTAAAGTATATGGGAGAATGTGTATGAGTTATATGCAAATACTACACCATTTTATAGAAGGGACTTTCATCTATGGATTTCGGTTTTGGCCGGGGGTGGAGAAGTGGGCGGAATGGGTGCTGGAACGAATCCCCTGTAGATACCAAGGGACGGATATACCAGATGGACGCACTGATTCTATAGGCAAGTGCTAGTGAGCTTCCTGCCCAAAGGACATCGCCCCCTGGACTCAGGAATCAATAACTTTTCACATGAGCCATAATATCGCTGCCCCCCAGTTACGTTCACGCCCACCCCTAAGTTACCACCTCTTATTTGTGTCTCCCCTCCTTTCTCTGACATGTGCCTATCAGGAGGGCTTATCTACCAAAGGAGTATGTTAAACCCTAAATTTTACCTGTTCACTGGTGGCTGGTGTTTCTAGGATTTCAGTCAAGGTCTCTCCTGGCTGGAACCGGATGACATCCACAATTAAACGTTTTGTACTGAAACGAGATGGGGGAAGCATTTAAATATTACCAGTGTTGTAGTTCCTTTCAAGTGGACCGAATCAGCAGCAGCACAAACAGCACCTCATGGAAGTCCCAAGTGGCAGCTGCTAGCACACAGTACTCAAGGCACTAGGCTATCTGCCCAACCATAAGTAGGTACGAGGGTTAGGCTTTCCAAGATTTACATTTCGTTGTAGCATATTAGCAAAATAAGGCAGGTAAGCCCTGTGCCAAGTTCAATAAGCAAGGTGACTGGTGACTGGGATTATGACAAGTATGAGAGGCAGTATGGTCATTTCAGGTATGACCCAGCAGGTTCCTGCTCCAAAGGCCAGGAAACATTTGGATTACATTCCTCATTCTTCCTACTTTTGATACTCACTTCAGTAAGATGGTTCGAGCATCCATTTCTGCATTCTCATCTCCAGGCACATCAAATTTGTTGGTCAGGGTGAGAGATACTTCTGTCTTAGCCAGTGCCTCCTTATTTGGATCATTTAAATTGCCAGAGCTTTCCCCTGAAGTTTTGGGAGGGTGGAAAGAATCAGCATAATAAAGAGAGGAGATATTGGGGAGAAATAATACAAATAAAAGATGATGCGCATCTAAGATAATACCTGAATCAGCTAACATGTACAGTGTGTGGTGGGAACAACTTTTACTGAGAAATAAAATGTTGTTATGTCAAATGATAAAGGCAAAGGATCCATGATAACTTCATAAACATTTGAGAAATCATTTCAACACTACAATATCACAATTCTCTCTCAAAACATTCTTTCTGAATGGGCGCAGTGGCTTGGGCCTGTAATCCCAGCACTTTGGAAGGCTGAAGGAAGAGGATCGCTTGGGGCCAGGAGTTTGGGACCAGCCTAGGCAACATAGCGAGACCCCATCTCTATTTAAAAACAAAAACAAAACCACAAAACTCAGGAGGATCACTTCAGCCCACAGATTTGAGGCTGGAGTGAGCAACGATTCCACCACTGCACTCCGGCCTGGGCAACAGAGGGAGACCCTGTCTCACAACAAACCAATTCTTTCCTTTAAAGGACTTGTAGCTTATAATTATGTAATTATTTGTGTATCTGCAATTTTTTTAAAAAGCGCAAATGGCAGTATGTATCTGCACTGAAAATGATCTCTTCCTCCGACTCCAGTTCCTCATAGACAGTGACCACATCTGGACTTTGTTGTTTTGTTTTGTCTCATATGAAACTATCAGAATCACATCTATTTTATTTTCCAATGTATATCCAGAGTTTGGTACAGTGCAGAAAACAGGAGACGGCAACTGCAACACTCTTCTGTCATGTTCCCCTTTCTGTTACCTATCAGGGACTCGATGGTGGGCACCTCGCCAAGGTCGTCCAGCAGCTCGTGGATTGGATCATTGTGCTCTGGAGCAATGGCATCCTGGTGATCTAACAGGAGCTGCAAACACCAATGATCAACTCCATTTACATGTTCTACTCTCCAGCCCATCCCTCCCCAGAATGCCTAAAAATGATTTGCACAAAGAGGTTACAACAAAGTTCCTATATTCAAAGAACCAACAAGCACATCCTCAGCAAACTAACCCAAATAAACAATGTAACATAAAGCACCACATTGGGCTCTGTTGAATGACATATGTTACGATGCAAGAAGAGGAAATACTGGCAGTCTCTTAACCTCGTGGCCATAAAGGATTCAAATGTGTCCTTTATGTGTATAAGAAAGAACACTGAGGCTGGACACAGCGGCTAACGCCTGTAATTCCAGCACTTTGGTAGGCAGAGACAGGTGGATCACCTGAGATCAGGAGTTCAAGATCAGCCTGGCCAACATGATGAAACTCCATCTCTACTAAACATATAAAAAGTAGGAGGGCATGGTGGTACGCGCCTGTAATCCAAGCTACTAGGGAGGCTGAGGCAGGAGAATTGCTTGAACCTGGTAGGCAGAGGCTGCAGTAAGCCACTATCATGCCACTGCACTCCAGCCTGGGTGACAGAGAGAGACTCCATCTCAAAAAAAAAAGAAACTCAGAATTCAATACCCAAAGTCAGGCGTCCCCAAACTTTTTACACAGAGGGCCATCACATACTGTGCTCCTCTCACTGACCACCAATGAAAGAGGTGCCCCTTCCTGAAGTGCGGCGGGGGGCCAGATAAATGGCCTCATGGGGCTGCATGTGGCCCGTGGGCAGCAGTTTGGGGACGCCTGCTCAAAGTCATCAATGCACACTACTACCAGTTCAAATAACTCACATGCAGACTTTTACTTAATGTTTTCAGTGTATGACATGATTTTAATTCAGAGGAAAGCATGCCAAATCAATGTTCTAATTATCATAGAGACACTCAACAAAGCCTTCAAGGTGCCATTATCCCAGGTGATGCCCTCAGAAATGACAGTAACCCCGAAATTTCATTTACATTTTTTCATATGTCCTCATGCCTATTCTACATGTCTATGTACCCAAAAGGGAAAAAATGAATTATTTGAAAAATCTGAAGAAACAGGGAGCTCCAGCTTCCAAGGGAAAAATCCACTACAAGGCTACACAGAGAAAGAAGCTAGTATTCTAGATCATGTTAGAAAAACAATGCAGAGGGCTGAGGTAAAAAGAAAGAAGAGTAAAAGCACTATTTTTTTTTTTTTTAAATCAAGGCACTAGATGAATTTAGTGGGATTCTGATTCACTAGGCCTGGGGTGGGGCCCAGAAAACTTCATTTTTAATGATCAGCCCATATGATTCTGATACAGGTGGCCTGGGGAGACCTTGTAGAAACTTAGCAGTAGATCGTGTTAAGAATAACAAGCAACAAAAGAGACAACAAGGCGATGTATTGTCAGCTAGATCACAGGAAGGTGAGACACCTGGCTACCAGAGGCGATAAGCAGTAGCCAAGGAAAATAATTAAGGACACAGCAATGAAATTAAATAATTAAAGAAAAATACTTACAGTGTGGGTGTTGATGATTTCACCAATGGAAATGTAGATGACTGGTTTGGTGAGAGTTACTAAATCAGAGTACTCATCCACATTAAATTTATCCTGAAGTTCTGGTACATCACAAGCAGTTTGGAAAAACCGTCTGAAATAAGCACCAGAGGTAGCCCCCCCAAAAAGTGACATGTGCATGAGAAGTTGGCAAGAGAATGTTCCACAAAACTCTCACACAATGAGCGCAAACATAAGCCAGTCAAGACAGTTACTTCAAGAGAAACTGCTATGTCTGCTGTGCCTGACAACTGTGAGATATTGGCTCTAACAACTTCTTTCTCCACCTAGTTTATAGTTTTACCCGTAAGAACCACTGCAACTTGATTTAAAACAGTTCTCAGACACCATTAGGAGAACCAGCTCTATCTCTAAGATAGTGCTTTGAGGCACTGAATTCAAAACTAGATGTTAATTTACAAAAATTAAAAGCATTCTCCAATTCATCTCTGATTATACAGTAATATGTACTAAATACATAATCGTTATTTTTATGTTAACTACTATCTATTTCACAAGAAAATTCTCTTGAAAATAAATGCATCACCTTCTGGAGTCCTGGACACATCAAACATGTATTCTATAATACAGTAGTCTGGTTTTTAATCTTGTCTTTCCCCTCAATGATAAAAATACACCCACAGACTCTTAAGCACTTGTACCTTTCCCCTTACCTGAATTTCTGGTAGGACTGGGAAAGATATTCATTAATGATGCTTAAGTGAGCATTATCTCCCAGAAACATCTTATTGGAAGCAGCATGCTGAAGCATTTTTGCAATGGAGCCCAGGTTTCGGCGTTGGTCTGTGGTAAGCTGGCCTCCTGCTGACAGGTCAATGATGTCAAAGGCATCAGGAGCAACAATGGCTGGATTCATGTATCGATAATAAAGCAAGTTACCAATAATCTGGAAGAGATGAAACAGAAAGATGGATATTAAAAGACATACCACCAAGTAAGCCACGAATGACTTTGCTAGCAAAGAAAACCAGAAAATGTAGTCCTATGACAAATACATAAATAAAAAATACATATACACATGCACGCATGCACATATACATACTCTCTCCCATGGCCTGGAACTAAAACAATGAAACATCCCTTTGTTCAACACAGGAAAACAATGAGAACACAACGAAAACCACTGCCAGTAGTTAACGAAAGAGCAGATTCAGAAGGTAAAAATGGCACACTTAAAGTCTGTTATTAAGTATTTCAGGGCATCTTTTGTTCACATGTCATGGTAGCAAATAAAGCTGCTGTCACCCACATGCACTTTGTACTTTCATATAGATGGGATTTCATTATAAAAAGCTAACAAGCCAGGCGTGGTGGCTCAAGCCTGTAATCCCAGCACTTTGGGAGGCCGAGGCGGGTGGATCACGAGGTCAAGAGATCGAGACCATCCTGGTCAACATGGTGAAACCCCGTCTCTACTAAAAATACAAAAATTAGCTGGGCATGGTGGCGTGTGCCTGTAATCCCAGCTACTCAGGAGGCTGAGGCAGGAGAAATGCCTGAACCCAGGAGGCGGAGGTTGTGGTGAGCCGAGATCGCGCCATTGCACTCCAGCCTGGGTAAGAAGAGCGAAACTCTGTCTCAAAAAAAAAAAAAAAAAAAAAAAAAAAAAAAAAAAAAAAAGCTAACAAACACAGCTAAATTCTTTACATGACCTAGTCAGCATAACCCCACCTCCCAATATCTTCATGCTTCAGACTTCAAAGGCCAAGTTCATGCCTCTGAAATTAAATTCACTTAACACACATCTCTTCCACAGAAGAATTCAGGAACAGTCACAGCATTTCCCCTAGAGTTTCATTCAAAAGAAATAAAATTAATTCACCTGAACAGAAAGTCTAGAATCGAGGCCTCACTGTAGGAAAGCACAGAACTAGGAGAGAGAAGAAAAAAGCATTCAGATTAAAAAAAAAAAGAAAAGAGAAGAGCATAGCTGAGTAAGAAAGAGTTATCAGCAACAGCCTTAGCAGAAACAATTGTGCCTGCTACTATTCACCAGGTCACCAGCAGAGGGAACAATACTACAGCGAAAAGACAGGACTCAAAGAAACTCATTTGAGTACAGGAAAAATCCATCTTTCTACTTGTTTGATGTTTGTGCGCCAAACTATAGGAACTGTTTCATCCTAAGAAAGGTATTGTTTACCAATTGCAGTTGCTTTCAAAAGCTCATAATCAATGGCGAGCTACTGCCAGAACCTACACTCAGGCTATTGGTAATAATCTATGGTCAGGCCTGGCTTTCTAGCTTCGTCCTCAAAGGGCAGGAGTCAGCCAGCTCTGAGATTCTTACCTTCAGCAGCTCATCCTCACCAGCATCAGGGAACTTCTCATGCAACGAGTCCTTCAGCACTTTGGCAATGAAGCGCATCCCGTAACTGTGAGATGGACAAAACTTAATGAGAAGGGGCAAGGAGCAGAAAGGTACTAGTGCTGGGCTCTACTGGGGGTCATGACAACTGACGGCACTCACGGGATTTTGTCCACAGAGCTGACAATGGCTGAGAGAAACTTGTCTGTCACAGCCCGCATGTTCCTGATCGAGTTGTCTAGCCGGGTCTTCACTTCTTCATGAGCTAGTGCCTGCTCAGGGGTCACATCATAGGGCAGTTTGCTGGGAAGACAGAAATTACACACAACTATGTTAGACTAACAGCCAGGAACAGCCTGAAGCAAGTATCTTATCTTTCATAAACGGAAAGACCCAGAAACATGAGGTAGCATACACTCATGCTCACAGGGCTGGTAAGCGATAAGGCTAGAATCTGAACTCCAACTGTGAATCGGGTGCCTGAATTGTGTGCTAGGCACAATAATAGGCACTTGGAGATAAAAGTTATATAAGACATGGCCAGGTGCAGTGGCTCATACCTGTAATACCAGCACTTTGGGAGGTCGAGGCGGGCAGATCATGAGGTCAGGAGTTCGAGACCATCCTGGCCAACATGGTGAAACCCCGTCTCTACTAAAAATACACACAAAAAAATAGCTGGGTGTTGTGGTGTGCACCTGTAATCTCAGCTATTTGGGAGGCTGAGGTAGGAGAATCACTTGAACACGGGAGGTGGAGTGCAGTGAGCTGAGATTGTACCACTGCACTCCAGCCTAGGCAACAGAGCAAGACTCCATCTCAAAAAAAAAAAGTTATATAAGACATGATATCTTCTCTTGAGTCTTTTACAGTCTGGTGGGAGTGACATACAAACATCACACAAACATGATTATAAATCTATTGTGCTATAAATCAGTTCGCCAAAAGTGCTACAGGATCATAGGGAAAGGGCTTCAACTCAGAATGGAAAAAGCGAGGAAGGCTTCCAAAAGGAAGGGATGCTTGAACTCAAGAACACAGTAGAGAAAGAGTCTTCTAAGAAGGAAGGGGAGACAGAGGCAAAACGAGAGTGGAAAAGTAGAAGGGAGCAGGCCATGGTGGACCCTGTGTATGATATTAACAAATCTGGACCTTCCCAGAAACCAGAAGAAGGTCTTCAAAGACAGGAGGGCTAAGCTAGGCACAGCAGTGCACAGTAGCATTCCCAGCTACCAGGAAGGCTGAGGTGGGAGGAATGCTTGAGCAAGACCTTGTCTTAAAAAAAAAACAGAAAGAAAGAAAAAAGGCAGAGAGAGCTTTGGTACACAGAGAAGGGAGAAGAAGGCAAAGTGACCACAGGTGCTCCTCTAGCACCTCAACTTCGTGATAATGGTTTCAGATTTCTGGCCTTCACAACTGTGAGACAATGAATTTTGGTTGTTTTAAGTCACCAAGTTTGAGGTGATTTGTTATAGCAGCCTTAAAAAATATAAGCAGAGGCCAGGCATGGTGGCTCATGCCTATAATCCCAGCACTTTGGGAGACTGAGACCCGCAGATTACCTGAGGTCAGGAGTTTAAGACCATCCTGGCCAACATGGAGAAACCCCGTCTCTACTAAAAACATAAAAATTAGCTGGGCATTGTGGCACATGCCTGTAATCCCAGCTACTTGGGAGGCTGAGGCAGGAGAATTACTTGAACCCGGGAGGTGGAGGTTGCAGTGGGCTGACATCACACCATTGCATTCCAGTCTGAGCAACAGAGCGAGACACTGTCTCAGATAAAAAGAAAAGAGAAAAATACAAGTAGACAGGGATACCCTATTGTATATTTTATTTATGTGACTTTTAAAAGTAGTAACAAGCAAGAGAATCAACATGCTAAAAATAATGGTAATAGAACAAAACATTAGCTAAGATTTTAGGAAAGAACATTTCCAAGAGGTGACAAATTCCAGTTTGCTATGTGTACAGTGGCTGAAGTAAAAGAGGAAAGCTGAGGGACCCATGACGCTTACCCGCAGGACAGACCCCCACCACACCTCACAGTCACTGGTATCTTAAAAAGAGTTCAAATAAATTGCCTTTAAAAAAAAAAAAAAAAAAAGATACAGGGTCTCACTAGTCGCCCAGGCTATGCTCAAACTTCTGGGCTCAAGCGATATTCCTGTCTTGGCCTCCTGAGCAACTGGGACTGCTGGTACATGCCACCATGCCTGGCTCAATTTCCATTTTATGAAAGGCAAAATAAGACACAAGTTTCTTATAGGTACCCACAGGAAAAACAATCCTGAACTGTCTAGTGGGATCTGGATCTAAAAATGACTGACTCATGGACCATCAGAGGAAATAATTGAGTAGCCCTGAGCCAGGGTACATGCGGGCTATCAGCAAGGAATGCCCTGCGTTGCAGGCAAAACTTCCCACACAAGTATTGCACTTGGCTGACCACATTCCTGGATTTGGGTCTCAGGTATGCAGGCCAAAAAAATTAAAAAGACTTTTGCAATGATCTGAGTCCTGATAACAGACCTACATAGTACTGAGAACCAGTCAGATGCCAAATGATTCCTAATAGGGATACACCCTTTCTTTTTTCTTTTTTGTCACCCAGGATGGAGTGCAGTGGTGGCATCATGGCACAGTGCAGCCTCGACCTCTCATGCTCAAGCAATCCCCCTGCCTCAGCCTCTGGAATAACTGAGACTACAGGTGTGGACAACCACGCCTAGCTAATTTTTTTTAAGTGGAGACAAGGTCTCCCTATGTTGCCCAGGCTGGTCTCAAAGGCCCAAAGGCTATGATGAGCTCAAGCAATCCTCCCACCTCAGCCTCCCAAAGCGCTGGATTTACAGGCATGAGCTACCCCACCTGGCGAGATAAGCCCCTTCAATGAGTCAGCAGAATTGCCTGGCATCCAGGAACATGGAAAGTAGAATTATGTAGAATAGTGTTATTCAAAGTGTGGACCAGTGCCAGTCTACAATCCAATCAAAGACAATGAGTCAGAATGCGAATTAGTACACTGCTTCTTTCATTGAGAAAATCTTGCTATTAAAAAAACGATCAGTTAAACTAAACAGTGTGCGCAGATGATTTTCCATTACTGGTCTGCAAACCACACTTTGAATAGCAACGGTGTGGAGAACTGCTACTCCGCCTATGCCCAGAGAGTTTCATGCATGATCTAACCCTACTCTACAACAGGAAAAATCCACAACAGACCATGCTGCTTACATCTCCATTTCCCATCCCTCTAGGTCCTTGCCCAAGATCAATAAAACCAGAAATGTTTTGGCATTCTGAACTCCCTTTTCCCAGCATTACCCATATTTGATTAGCACACTTTTGCTTTAGATAAATTAATGTTAGTGGTTTACAATACAGCCCTGATTCAGCTATCTCCTGTAATATGTTAATTTAATTAGCCCAACTCTCAGTATTTCAGGGCAGCTCACCCCACACCATTTTCTTGTTCCTTTAATAAAACACCGTGATCTCACCCAGTCTGTATGAGCCTTCTCATTCAATTGCATCCCTAGTTATGCCTTTTAGGTCCTAAGCCCTCCACCTCAGAGTGTTCACACATGAACACTCTGCACCTAGCTCTTAGTAAGGCTGGCTTCATCTTAGCCTTTAGATCTCAGCTAAATGAAATTTTATCTTCTGGGATAGGCTTTCCCTAACTACCCTACCTATGTTAGCTCCCTCTTATAGTCTCCACTACAGAACCCTACATAAAACTTCATGAAACTTTCCTCAATGTTTAATCATACTTTTATTTTTATGTACCTGGTTGGTGTCTCTTCCACCCAATGACCTAAGAAGAGAGGGCAGGGGGCATGTCTGTTTTCACTCATTATTACATTACTATATACATCTCTAACACAATGCCTGGCACACAGTAAATACTCAATAAACATTTGTTAAATAAATGAATTTATTACGAGGTCAACAACTTATAAAGCACAGTTTTCTAAAGAAAAACTATTTGAGGCTGGGCACAGTGGCTCATGCCTGTAATCCCAGAACTTTGGGAGGCTGAGTCAGATGAATTGCTTGAGGTCAGGAGTTCGAGACCAGCCTAATCAACATGGCAAAACCCTGCTCTACTAAAAATACAAATATTAGACAGGTGTTGTCGCATGCCTGTAATCCCATCTACTCGGGAGGCTAAAGCATGAGAATTGCTTGAACCCAGGAGGTGGCGCTGCAGTGAGCCAAGGTCCTGCCACAGCATTTCAGCCTGAGCGACAAGAGTGAAACTCCATCTCAAAAGAAAATTTAAAAAAAAGAAAAACTATTTGAACTAGTATTAGTTTATAAATAGAGAGGGTGGAAAAAAGAGGGAAAGAAAGTAATAACATAAAGAAAAGTGTTATGGTTATCATACCTTGCCTCTCCTGTCTGAGACTCCATCTGATTAACCCAAGATTTGTAAATATCCACAGGGTCAGTTTTGATGTTGAGAGATTTGTCATCCATAATTTCCTTCACGACTGGGGCCAAGATCTGTCTCAGGGCATTCTGGCCACGGGCACCACGGTTGAAACTTACAACCATTTTAATAACTGTAGGATTTCCTGTCACAATCTCTTGAATCTGATCTACCTTTGACCTATAAAATATCAGATAAAAATTTAAACTTGTCACAGAATCCATCAATTAAAAGATCCTTCCTGCTTAAAGATCCTATCTCATAGAAACAGAGTTTCTCTCAATTCATTCCCCAGCACTCACAGAATGTTCCTGTAGCTGTACACTGAATCGTGGTCACGATTAGGTCCCCTACTAAAGAAAAATGTAAAATCTTTCTGTTGAGATCACTTTTTGAAATTATACCTTAATATAGAGTCTTCCTAAAATTAGTTTATCCCCTCCCTAGAAGCAGCAAGGTTTTGTATCATTAAAAAATTAGATGCTTCTTTAGAGTAAGTATTTTTCATAAATTAAATGAGATCAAGAAAGGTTCGGAAGGCATGAATCTCAAACTGGGGTCCCCTGTGATAGTGGGAAGGGCCTGTGCCCTGAGGAAATCTGTTCATACTTGATTTCCTCCTGGAGTGCTGTCTTAAAGAGCCGCAGAAGCAGGTACTCCTCTCGCTGGTTGGATGCATAGTTGTAGAGTGTGAAGATCACAGAGTCCATGAACTTGGTGGACTTGTTCTGGGGCATCTGAAAAATTAGCTTGGCCAGATAGGTGGGATTGGTCTGAAATAAAACCAAGGTATAACTCATTTATAGGTAATATAAAAGCTGGCAAGAGATATTTAATTCTTTAAAATTGAAGAACTAGAAGATACATGAGAAAAAAAATTAATAAATTAACATATTACAAATGCCCATCACTTACCCCTCAGTGGAAGTCAAAAATATTTCCAGAGAGATCGATGGGTAGGGTTTTCTTGTGGAAAAGTAAATTCGCTAAATTTTTATAACACTGATTCCAGGAGCCACTTACTTGCAATAAATAAAACAGGTGCTGGTAAGCTTCCAACTTCTCTCTCTTCTCCTTGCTCAAAGCCTTGAGACCTCCCTTCTGTTTATTTATCATCATCATATCAGACAATTGTTCCTTATTTTTTTTGGTAAGTTTTTTACTGTGGGAAACCACATCCTACAAACAAAAACCAATACACACATGAGAGAGCTTTCAAAGACGAACCTCTGGGCATTGTGGAAATGTCTTGTAGCATGTGCAAAATCACATGACAGTCGATTGCACTGGTAGATTCCCTCTAAAGATTTTAAAACCACTACACTTTATCCTGTTTTCAGTAAACCAATCAAATCCGTTCCTATGTTCTGACAAAGGACCTGAGCCATAAGAATGTACACTAAACTGGGAAACCAACTTCTAGCAATCTATTATAAAAATAAGTCTTAAATACAATAAAAGCTACGTATATATTGAAACATCAATTTCAATGTTATTTATAATAAGCACTTGGTAAACAACCTAAATGTCAAATACCAGGGGGAAAAAAGGGGCAAATCATAGTATATCTTCTAACAATCTATTATGCTACTGCTAAAAATAATATTTACGGCCCAGTGCAGTGGCTCACAACTGTAATCCCAGCACTCTGGGAGGCTGAGACAGGAGGATTACTTGAGTCTAAGAGTTCAAGACCAGCCTGGACAACATAGAGAGATCCCATCTCTTATAAAAATAAAATAATTAGCCAGCTGTGGTGGCATGCACTGGTCGTCCTAGCTACTTGAGAGGCTGAAGTAGGACAATCACTCAAACCCAGGAGGTTGAGGTTGCAGTGAGCCATGATAATGCCACTGCACTCCAGCCTGGGGTACAGGAGACTCTGCCTCAAAAAATAAAAAGATATATGACTATTTATCATAGGGAAAGCGTCTTATCCTCTGATATGAAGTAAGAATATAACACACAAAACGAGTGGGGTAGGTGAAATTAGGGGAAGACATTTATCTTCTTTTCTCTATCAAAATTTTGTCTATTAAGTTATTTTATGTCTTATCTAACTTTTCTTTGAGACAGAGTTTTGCTCTGTCACCAAGTCTGTAGTGCAGTGGTGCAATCTTGGCTCACTGTAACCTCTGCCTCCCAGGTTCAAGCAATTCTAACACCTCCTGAGTAGCTGAGATTACAGGCATGTGCCACCATATCCAGCTATTTTTTTTTTTTTTTTTTTTTTGAGACGGAGTTTTGCTCTTGTTACCCAGGCTGGAGCGCAATGGCGTGATCTCGGCTCACCGCAACCTCCGCCTCCTGGGTTCAGGCAATTCTCCTGCCTCAGCCTCCTGAGTAGCTGGGATTACAGGCACGCGCCACCATGTCCAGCTAGTTTTTTGTATTTTTAGTAGAGACGGGGTTTCACCATGTTGACCAGGATGGTCTCGATCTCTTGACCTCGTTGATCCACCCGCCTCGGCCTCCCAAAGTGCTGGGATTACAGGCTTGAGCCACCGCGCCCAGCCCAGCTAATTTTTTGTATTTTTTTTTTTTTTAGATGGAGTCTCACACTGTTGCTGGGCAGGAGTGCAATGGCACAATCTCGGCTCGCTGCAACCTCCACCTCCCGGGTTCAAGCAATTCTCCTGCTTCAGCCTCCCAAAGTGTTGGGATTACAGGCGTGAGCCACTGCGCCCGGCCAATTTTTTGTATTTTTACTAGAGATGGAATTTCACCATGTTGGCCAGGCTGGTCTCAAACTCCTGGCTTCAAGTGATCCACCCTCCTTAGCCTCCCTAAGTGCTAGGATTACAGGCGTGAGCTACAGCGCCCGGCCTTTTTTAAAAAATTTCTGACAGTCTCACTCTGTTGCCCAGGCTGGAGTGCAGTGGTATGATCTTGGCTCACTGCAACCTCCGCCTCCTGGGTTCAAGCTTGTATCCTGCCTCAGCCTTCTGAGTAGCTGGGACTACAGATGCATGCCACCACACCCAGCTAATTTTTCTATTTGTAGTAGAGATGGGGTTTCACCATGTTAACCAGGATGGTCTCAATCTCTTGACCTCGTGATCTGCCTGCCTTGGCCCCTCCCAAAGTGCTGTGATTATAGATGTGAGCCATCATGCCTGACCTGTCTTACATAACTTTCAAAAAAGCTTACAGCGGCCAGGCACGGTAGCTCATGCCTGTAATCTCAGCACTTTGGTAGGCCTACTTGGGTAGATCACTTGAGGCCAGGAGTTCGGGACCAGCCTGGCAAACATGGTGAAACCCCATCTCTACTAAAAATGCAAAAAAGGCAGGTGTCGTGGCTTATGTCTATAATCCCAGCACTTTGGGAGGCTGAGGCAGGTGGATCACCTGAGGTCAGGACCTCAAGACCAGTCTACCAACATGGCGAAACACTGTCTCTACTAAAAATACAAATATTAGCAGGGCATAGTGGCATGCACCTGTAATTCCTGCTACTTGGGAGGCTGAGGCAGGAGAATCAGTGAACCCATGAGGCAGAGGTTTTAGTGAGCCAAGATTATGCCACTGTACTCTAGCCTAGGCGACAAGTGAAACTCTGTCTCAAAACAAAAACAAAAGCAAAAACAATTAGCCAGGTGTAGTGTCCTGTGCCTGTAACCCCAGCTACTTAGGAGGCTGACGCAGGAGAATCGCTTGAACCTGGGAGGCAGAGGTTGCGGTGAGCTGAGATCACACTACTGCACTCCAACCTGGGCAACTCAGTGAGCCTCTGTCAAAAAAACAAAAACAAAAAACAAAACCTTATGGCAGTAGCTGAGAAAAAAGTCGGCCTCCACCTTCCCCACCAGTTAGAAAGGAGAAATTAGGGATTACAAACAGGATAAAGCGTTCCAAGGTCCCCACTGGCCCTGGGCCATACCTGCAATGTAATCTTATTTTTCACTAGCAGTCCAATTTTGATATCCATGAGATTGAGGTCATTCTCCAGCTGCTGGTTAGAACGAATGAGGGTGATAACCTCTTCGCGCATCTTCATAAGGTCAAGCTCCTCCTGAAAATCCTGGTCACTTTGGTCCAGCAGGTGGACAAATTTGCGGACCACAATCATAGGAGGATCCTCAGCATTGACTGACAGAAAGTACGCATCAGACAAAGAATGGGTTACCAGAAAAATACTATGTCTCAGAAAATAGCATTGTCTTGACAAAGTAGTTCTATTCACACACAATTATTTTTGAGATATGCTAAGGCAACTATCAGGTACAATCTTCTGTGTCTGGCTATTACTATGTTATGACAAAAGCTAATTCAACAAGCAACAAGACACCTAGCCACATGTTAGCAAAGGGGCTCACACCACAGGTCACACCTCTACCCCAAGCCTTGCCTCAGGACAACAAAAAAGGTCCATGGAGAAGACCCAGAACCTGGTGGCTCTCAGCCACTGCCTCAACTTTTCACAAGGAGCCAGTTACTCACTGAGAGTCTTGTAGTCATCCCGAGCTTTGTTGGCCCGAATAAAAGCCTGGATTTTGATAATGTCATTTATCTAAGGAACAAAAAACAAGAAATTCCTCGTTCATCTGTCTACCAAAAATACGGCCAAACCACTCCTAAAGGCCCTTATGATCCACGGGTACTCACGTGGTCCCGGAAGTACTGCAGGCGATCTCGATAGCGCTTTCTAGCTTGGTGCATCCTTGCCAGGGACTGAATCTGTGGAAAGGGGATCCTAGAAATTAGAAGAGCCCTTCATCGCAACACGTGTTACACCTGCGCCCCTCATGGAGAAACCCTGCTCAGGCTACCATACCTTTACAACTTCATCTTTGTGGGAGCGCAGGTAAGCTAACCGATCTTGATATGCCTTCTTCTGCTTGTATCCTCTCCACTGGGACTGAAACCATCAAATATTACAGAGAACATATTACTTCCCAAGCATCAATGGAAGTCAAAAATTTTTCATCTTGATATATGATCCAAGTGCAATTTCATCATGATGTTTTAGAAAGGACCATTTCCAGCAGTGACAGAGGACAAGGGCACGGGCCATTCCTCCACTGGAAGAACACGATGGCTCCATTCTACTTTCCTGACATCAGCACAGCCCTGCATGCCTTTTTCAGTCTGTACAAATTCATTACTGGCTTCTTACACCAAATCAGGTGAGGAAGGTAAGATATAATGGGGCGTTCCCCTTTTATAGATGGGGAAACAAACTTGGAGATTCATCACTGTCTGGCAGCAGTGCAGCCATCACTCCTAACTCAGAATTCTTTCCAGGACATTGTGCTACCTTGTCAATGAAGCAAAACCACAGTTGTTTCCCTCAAGGTTCACATCTTACATAAAGGTACAGTCTTAGAAGAAGAGAGGAAGAGGTGCTCAAGAACTGCCACTGTGCCACCATTAAACACCAGTAGGCACACTACACTTAATGTTAGTAAAGAGGAGGTACCTGTCAAAGGAAAGAGAAGACTAAGAGGCCAGAACTCAAAAAACACACTCAGACAGTTAATGGTGAGAGCTGACTATTTATTACCCCTGCTCTAGATGCCTGCTTGCTATCTGTGTCATAGGTTCTGAAATACCTGAATGCAGGTGATGGCAGGGATTTGTTTCTTCAGGAAATTCATCCTGGATCGGAATTCCTGTCGAACTAAGTATCCACGGCAGCGGGCCTGCAGCCTGGTGATCAGGCCTTCATTGGCCAGCCACAGCTGTTCTCGGTTATATGCAGCCGTCACTCCAGAGATGGAACTCTGAAAAAGCAGTGGTCACATTCAAAGACATTCACGAGCAAGAACGGATGCAGGTTTTCACAAAGTATCACCCATGGCACACAAGCTAACATTCCCTGCTTCCTAAGTCCATACCAGACTGTATGGACTTAAGTAAAAGGAATGAAGCCCTCAGGTCTGTTTTTCAGGACCAGGTTGTTCTCACACACCTCCTCCCACCTAGAAAACATTTCATAAACAAAAACTTGATCTTCTTTTACTTCATATATCATCTCATTTATCCACCTATCCAACACTGACTAGGCTGGGCACTGTGCTGGCTGGTCTGGGGTCACTGCGGACAAGAATAGAGTAACAGGTATCCAATAGGGCTGTGTGCCAAGTACCAAGGGACCCCTAGAATGTTACAATGTAGGACATCCCAGAGGGAGAGGCCAGAGGTGAGGACAGAAAGCCGCATCTCCAGGCAGACTGCAAATGGTAGGCAGACTGCAAAAGCAGCCTAGAGGGTTTGGACTATTACTAAAGATACTGGAGAGCCAGGAAACTTCAAGCAGAGGAATAAAACAATCGGCTGTTTATTATTTATTTTAGTGAGAAGGTCTCATTCTGTCACCCAGGCTGGAGTGCAGTGGTGTGATCTCAGCTTGCTGCAGCCTCAAATTCCTGGGTTCAAGCAATCTTCCCACCTCATTTCCTGAGTAACTGGGGCTACATGCACACCACCACACCTAATTTTAATTTTTAAAAAAATATTTTTTGTAGAGATGAGTTCTCATTATATTGTCCAGGCTGGAGATTATTTTTAGAAAAATACTGTTAGGAAAGTAAGACAGAGTAGAGTGAGGAGAGACCAAGTGGGTGAAATAAATGCTGCTATTGTGATACAAGTGAGAGATGACCTGAGCTTGAACAAAGCCAGCAGCAGTGGGAATGATTAGTAAGAACATCTGGTTACCTATCCAATATCCACCTTCTCCTCCAGAGCCTTGATTTTTTTTTTTTTTCTGGGCAATACTGTCTGCACTTAAAAGACTCCAGAGCGGCCGGGGAGGGTGGCTCACGCCTGTAATCTCAGCACTTTGGGAGGCTAAGGAGGGTGGATCACCTGAGGTCAGGAGTTTGAGACTAGCTTGAAAAACAAGGAGAAACTCAGTCTCTACTAAAATTACAAAAATTAGCCAGGCATGATGGCACATGCCTGTAGTCCCAGCTACTCGGGAGGCTGTGGCGGAAGAATCACTTGAACCAGGAGGCAGAGGTTGCAGTGAGTCAAGATAGTGCCATGGTACTCCAGCCTGGGCAACAAGAGCAAAACTGCATCTCAAAAAAAAAAAAAAAAAAGAAAAAGAAAGAAAGGAAAAAAAAAGACTCCATGAGCTAGAGAGAGATCCTGCACTGTGAGCAGTAGTAGCATGGCAAGACCTTTGGGAAAGCTCCACGAGAGAAACGGACAGCTGGCAGCACGCCTTCTTTGCTTTCCTTCCCCTTCTTCCTACTTCTGCCTGGACTGCTAATTTGCTGGTCAAAGCTCCATGCTGTCATTGTAGGTAACAAGGTGACCTTGAGAATGGAAGCCACATGCTAAGAAGGACAGAGTGCAAAGACTGAAGGATCCTGGAACAGATGATACCATGGAGCCACATCTTCCCTGGACTGCTGAACTGCAGAATCATTTCATGTAAGATAAAAATATACCCTTATACACTATTGCAGGCTCTGATTTTTTCCTGTTAAACTGTGTCTGAGGTGTCTGCTGGACTTCTGGACTGCAAAAGGAAGGGCAAAAACCTGCTGGTGAAGAAAAGGGCTAATGTCTGGAGGAACAGATTTATGAGTCACAAGCACGAAGGTAAGAGCTGGAGCCATAGGCTTGAAAAAGATCACTCAGGAAGAATGTGTAGAAGAGAAGAGGGCCAATGGAATCTTCATATAATTCAAGCAGAGGTAGAGAAAGGAAGGTAGCATGAGACGTTAAGAAGGGACACTCAGAAGTAGGAGAATCAGAAGAGAATTGCATGGGAGAAGCCAAAGGAATGGAGGGTTTGAGGAAGAGACTTTTGTCAAGTCAAATATGATAAGCACTCAGAAATGAATTTGGCAATTAAAAGGTTATTGAGGAATTCCAAAATAAGAGCTTTACTAAGTAAAAGCTGGACAGGAAACCACATCGCTGTGAGCTAGGAAGTGGATAGTAACAGAGACTGAATTAGTGATGGGCAGACTAACTTTCAAAGCCCTTATGAAGAGTATGAATGTAGATGAGGCTGGATCAGGGAAATTCTATGGGCTTTAAAAACATTTTGTATTACTATTTTTCCAAAGATGCAGGAATTAAAGATGCTGAAGTATGTAGACTGCTATTTAAAATGCGGTCCTTGAGCCAGCAGCATCAGCAACACCTGGAAGCCTGTCAGAAACACATATTTTCTCAGACCCCATACTAGGATCAGAGTACCAAGTAAAAACTTAAAGTGCTCAACAGTCCATCAATGACAATGTAAGTCCTCATTCGAGAAAGTACTGCAAACTTAGAAGTTCGCCTTAAAAACTAGTAGGGGGCATAGACAAGTACAAATGTGACTAAAATTCGAATCCAAGTACATTAAATTCTGAATGAATACAAAATTCTTTGGGAGCTTCAAAAGAAGATGGAGGGGGTAAGAAAAGGAAATTTTTTTTTTTTTTTTTTTTTTTTTTTTGAGACGGAGTTTCGCTCTTGTTACCCAGGCTGGAGTGCAATGGCGCGATCTCGGCTCACCGTAACCTCCGCCTCCTGGGTTCATGCAATTCTCCTGCCTCAGCCTCCTGAGTAGCTGGGATTACAGGCACGTGCCACCATGCCCAGCTAATTTTTCGTATTTTTAGTAGAGACGGGGTTTCACCATGTTGACGAGGATGGTCTTGATCTCTTGACCTCGTGATCCACCCGCCTTGGCCTCCTAAAGTGCTGGGGTTACAGGCGTGAGCCACCGCGCCCGGCCAGGAAAGGAAATTTTTAAAAGTTTCATGGAGGAGGTGACTTAAGATGGGTGTGCTTGGAGGACTGAATTTTTTAATTAAATTTTATTTATTTTTTTTGAGACAGGGTTTTGCTCTGTTGCCCAGGCTGGAGTGCAGTGGTGTGATCATGGCTCATTGCAGCTTGAGCTCCCAGGCTCGACTGATCCTCCCCTCTCATCCTCCCAAGTAGCTGGAATCACAGACACACACCACCGCACCCAGCTAATTTTTGTATTTTGCCCAGGCTGGTCTCAAACTCCTGGGCTCAAGCAGTCTTTTTGCTTTGGCCTCCCAAAGTGCTGGGATTGCTGGTGTGAGCCCAGCCTGAATTTTTTTTCTTTTTTTATACCAATAATCAGTACAAAGGGAAGGACAGAATTTTGACAGCTATAGATGACAGGGGAGAGACATTTCATGACAGCAGAGACTTTGTTTTGTTCACGGCTATATCCTCATTGCTTACAAGAGTACCTGCTACACTTAAGGAGGTATTAAATAACTGTTGAATGGGCTGGGTGTGCTGGCTCATGCCTATAATCCTAGCACTTTGAGAGACTGAGGCAGGTGAACCATTTGAGGCCAGGAGTTCGAGACCAGCCTGGTCAAGAGGGCAAAACCTCATCTCTACTAAAATTACAAAATTAGCCAGGCGTGGTGGTGCATGCCTGCAATCCCAGCTACTTGGGAGGTTGAGGCAGGAGAATCACTGTAATCCAGGGAGGTGGAGGTTGTGGTGAGCTGAGACTGTGCCACTGCATTCCAGCCTGGGTGACACAGTGAGACTCAAAAACAAACAAACAAACAAACAAAAAAACTGTTGAATGGAATAGCATAAGCAAAGAAACAGAAGATGAAAATGTACTTTAAAAGCCCTGTGAAATGCTAACTTAATTTGAAAGTGCAGGTTGTAGCTAATACAATTTGTGGAATAGTCAGAACAGACTGAAAATATAAACTGGGAGAGGTTAAAGTAGTTGTATTTAATGAGGAGTCAGCAACTTTTCATTTTTCTTCTCTGGATCATCTAAGTTTTCTTAGCACATGGTTTATGTCACTTAATTCTGTAATTCAGATGTTTTACTAATTCAGGCCATAGTCATTCCCCAACCACTACAAAAAATATTACTGCAAAACAGTTTATTACATAACGTCAATTTTAGTCTAGGGTCTCTGACCACATGCTCTGTTCCTCTTAATTAATATAGCTTGAAAACATCTTCTCTCAGCTTCTTAAGTGAAGAAAGGTGACCTACCTGGATCTCCTCCCGAGAAAGCTGCATAGAATTTTGCACAAAATTTGGGGGTTCGTCCCATCCTCCTTCCTGGGTCTCCAGATTATGGTAATAATAATATCCGCCTTTCACCCAGTGCTTCACCCACTTGCTGTCATTGTCTCCTGGCAGAAAATAAAGGAAAGATAGAAGACATCCAGAGACACACTCCCGAGATGTAAGTCCAGGACTGCAGAATTTATTACAGTCAGGTCTCAGAGTCTAAATGAAGACCACTCAAAAGCTGCTCCTTGGATCTGTGAGAGTAAAGGTGCATCCTAAGCTCCCATTAAATTATGGCTTTGTAATGCCTAATTTAGCTCATTTATGTCTACAATATAAAAAGAAAATACCCACGAAATCTAATTATGAAATTAGCCATGATTAACTTTGTTCATTCCGAAGCCCATGTTTAAGGCCTGTATATTTAAAAAAACTTGCAACCATTCAGCCTCTCCAGTTTTTCCATTCTTAAAAGTCCATAAAATGGGATAAGAAATCTTATTTCTATCTCTTTATACAAACTACTTTTAATTGCCTATAGGCTTAATCAGAGCTACTGCTACTGTGAAAGATAAACAGTTAGATATTTTGATCTATCCTGCATTCTCAGAAAACTGGCCTTGTTAACATAGCTGTCCACAAAGGGGGAAAAACGGTATTTTCAAAAATAGGGATTTTATCTCCTTTAAAATGAGCCTAAGGCCGGGTGTGGTGGCTCACGCCTGTAATCCCAGCATTTTGGGAGGCCAACGCGGGCGGATCACAAGGTCAGTAGATCGAGACCATCCTGGTCAACATGTTGAAACCCTGTCTCTATTAAAATACAAAAAATCAGCTGGGCATGGTGTTGCGCACCTGTAGTCTCAGCTACTCAGGGGCTGAGGCAGGGGAAATGCTTAAACCTGGGAGGCGGAGGTTGCAGTGAGCCAAGATTGTGCCACTGCACTCTAGCCTGGTGACAGAGCAAGACTCTGTCTTTGGGGGGGTGGGGGGAAGAGCCTAAGTACTGTATGTCTACACACTAAAAGGTCTTTCCTCATAGCTTATCCCTCTCCTCTACTCAAGGGTTAGCTTCAGGGCACAAAAGTATTATCCCAGAACTCACCTGCTGCCTGTTTTTTCTTCTTGGCTTCAGCAAGGTCACTCTGGTAAGTTTCACCACATTCAGGGATGACTCCATATAAGCCAACATCAGGGGAACGAAGGGCACTGAGTGTTTTGCCAACATCACCACTTTCTACTGCCTCATTAATGGCAAAGACTCCTAAGGCAACTATTCCGGGAAAGAATTGTGACCGGATTAGTTTATAAAGTGTCTAAATTCACACACTGGTTCACCTAACTATATCTACTGGCAGATTGTTCCCGCATACCTATCTTGGTCAAGCTGAATACTGAGATATGGAGCGCCTTGTCACCCCAGCCTCTACCAAAACAGAAACAAAACAGCTTATACATACACTTCTGTGCTTCTTGAGTGTCTTTGTTGGACTGCCAGATTCCACCTTGAATTTCATCCAACCACAGCACAGCTGACTCATCCTGGGTTTCCTACACATCATTAAAAGCAAAACAATATCGAAGTCACAAAATCGGGGTACATATAATACACATGTGATAGGCGGGCTTCTCAGACTCAATTAAATATGGAAGAGCAGGCTTAAAAAATATGAGACACATGGGTTAGTCAAATAGAAGAAGCAGGCATCAAAAAACTGGTATAAGTTTGGGTGCAGTGACTCGCACCTGTAATCCAACACTTTGGGAAGCTGAGGCAAGTGGAATGCTTGAGCCCAGGAGTTCAAGACCAGCCTGGGCAACATACTGAGATCCTCTTTCTCTTAAAAATTAGTCAGGCATGGTGGTACATGCCTATAGTCCTGGCTAGTAGGGAGGCTGAGGCAGAAGGACTGCTTGAGCCCAGGAGGTTAGGCTGCAGTGAGCCATGTTCTTCTCACTGCCCTCCAGCCTGGGCAACAGAGTAAGACCCTGTCTCCAAAAACAAACAAACAAATTGGTAAAGGTCATAAGCTAAAGGGAAATGGCTCAGATGTAGGTGAAAATTATACAAAGATGAATTTAAGTGGTTCAGGAGGTCGTGAACAGCTAGAAGGGGCAAGAGGCCCAGAGAGACTGGGAAGGGGTCCATGGAGTTTAACGACATGGGCTAGTGAATATATATGAATATACAATATTCTGAGGAAGTCAATGTTCTCTAAGACTAAGACTATCAGGTCTTATTTTAACCAGAACCTTTGAATTATCACATTTAAAGCCAGGAGTCACTACAGGCAATCTACATTTCTCACCAGCTGCTACCCTAAAACTTGAATGTTAAATCAGTTACTGGGAACTTAAAGGTACATTTTCACACAGAAACATACTGAATATTGTGATTACTTTCCTTAGTACAGCTAACAAAAGCCTTGCAGTATAGTCTGAGTTGACTACTGGGGACAGAGATGATATACTGGAGGTGACTTACTTTCCTCTTCCTAAATTTGTTTAGACAATTTTCTTTTTTAAAAGAGCTTGTTGGTGATCATTTGCTCTGAATAACATTTTAAACAGAATTAGATTAGTAGAAATATCTTCCTTTAGTATCTTCCAATTTTCAAGAATGTGGCTGCTGGCCGGGCGTGGTGACTCACACCTGTAATCCTAGCATTTTGAGAGGCTGAGGCAGGCGGAGGTCAGGAGTTCAAGACCAGCCTAGCCAACATGGTGAAACCCCGTTTCTGTTAAAAATGCAAAAATTAGCCGGGCGTGGTGGCATGTGCCTGTAATCCCAGCTACTCAGGAGGCTGAGGCAGGAGAATCACTTGAACCCGGGAGGCAGAGATTGCAGTGAGCCAAGATCATGTAATTGCACTCCACCCTGGGTAACAGAGCAAGACTCTGTCTCAAAAAAAAAAAAAAAAAAGAATGTGGCTGCCATCTTCCGATTTGGGGAAGTAGCTTACGGATTAGCCCCAGGTAGTCACTACTGTTACTGAGAGTTAGCACAACAGAATTCTACTCCTACCTACTCTCAGTGTGAGAGTCAGAATCAGAAACCACTGCTGATACCTCGCCAGATTTCTGTGGTCATAGTGAGGTTATATAAGCTTTAACGATCTCAAAAAGTGGGGGTCCTTTGTTAAGATGACTCTAAGGTCTTTATAAAAAGCATCAATTCAGCAGATTACTGGGCAGTTTTCTATAGCAAAGACAAGGCACTTTATGTTTTAAAGTGGCCGCATTGTGAGAATCGTGTTTGTGGTGAACTGGCAGACTCAACAAAATTAACATACTCTTGAGGCTTGAGCTAACAGCAACTGGTGCAAACAGCAGCTCAAAAATTCGTTTAGATTGCTTGATGTGAATATAATGTGCCAAGCCACAAATGAGGCAGAATAAACAACTTGGTAAATCACCATAACTATGTGTCCAAACGAGGCAGGGTCTGAACTTTGAGGCAAAGTCAAACATTTCACTGCCCAACAGTTGAAGCCACAAAATCTTAGGGAAGGCTTGGCTTTCCTCCTGTTTTATTATAGAGAGAGACATAACATTTCATTCAATATAGTAAAGCACATATAGTAAACCACATTCCCTGCAATTTATAAAGAGTGCAGGTGACAGGATAAGGCGAAAGGAAGGCATCTGAAATGGAAAGCAGTGATTTCTCTTAAACGCAGCGTTTTAGAAAGAAAGATCATCTAAACTAATTATGGGAGGTGCTGGCCTTGCAATTCTAAGAGGCACTGTCCTAATTTTAAGAAGCTCACAGTCTTGGGAAAGGAAAAGAGTAAACATAAACAGAATGCAAGAACAAATGAATCACTTAAAAGCTGCAGAACCTAGTACCTTCCTACCACTAGTTGCTTTCTATTACTGAAAATAGAAAATGACCACACATTATCCTCTAGAGTCCTACAAATAACTACTGGAAATACTAGGCAATAGTTCCAATGTGAGACAATACAATGAGTCAGCTACAGGCTTGTGACAACTTCAATTGAGAAGTCATAAGCAAGAGGGTTGATGGTCCAGTCTCTAACAGAAGCAGCATAAAAATCTTTGCATCATAAAAATAGAAGCATTTCCACAGAATCAAGCCATTTTTGGTTCACTTTTAGGATAATCATACATCAGATATCTGAGCAGAATCTGCTGTAAGGAAAGCTGTGAGGTTAGCACAAACTCTCTTGCATTGAGAGAGAAAGGCAGAACCTTTCTGAGAATTCAGAATTCAGTTTTTCCTGCTTCGCACAAACTAAAGTAAAACCTTTCATACATGCTCCTTAAGAAATTAGTAGAGCAATAAACAGTATGAAACGCAACAAAAAGTGAATGGATGGGTGTCTCAGGTGTTTCAGGGAAACATAATATAGAAAAGCCCCTCACCAAAATGAAGAAGGAAAGCGAGACGGCATCCACTACCTCATCCCAGTGTAAGAAGAAACAGCTTCTTTCTGCTCCAATTAGACTGAATAAGATGACAAAACCCAGATCCTTTCAGTAAAATTTGTTTTAAAGAGATCATCTAAGATGAACTCCAATCACTGAGCAGAGTATTAAAACCCAGGCTAGATATTATGGAGAGAAAAGAGATTTGCTGTAAAAATTCTATATAAGACATATTAAAGTACAGCTCCGTAACAACTCTGACACTTAGAAACATACTGATTGCATTTCAGAAGTGGTAAAGAGATAGGGACCAGAAGTCAAAATAAAAAAAAAAAAGAGTGGGCAATGACTGGAGGGAGAAGAGGTGAAGAATGCCACAAAACATAGGGAAAGGAAGGGAGAAGCAGCAAAAGAATGACAATGTTACGTACATGTATATATGGAAAGCACATACTCACATACCCCTCTAAAGGGCACCTCTCACCCCTCAAATCCTTTTAAAAAGCCTTTACTTACTATGTGGCATGGTTTGCATGTATGATGATAGATTTCAATACTATATATATAAATATATAACCACATATATATCACATACACACCTAAACACAAATACACAAATCTGTACATTTATCAACTATACAACACAAGCACTGACTTAATCAGGAAGGAGTATAGTCCTTATGGTCACTGCTAGCTTAGTTACCAGATAGTGGAATTTCAGGGAAAGAATGAGAACTGGGGAGTGGTGGCACAGATTTGGGAGGGTTGGGACAGTAACAACGTATCAAACAAAAAAACTATTTTAATATCCTAACTGGTCCGGCTGTGCTGGTGTGAACCAGCTTATTACTAGCTACATACATGTAAGCATGTGTGTACAACTGCATATAGAGAGAGATTTAAGTCACTCATATTCTTTCTTCCTTTTTTTTTTTTTTTTTGAGATGGAGTCTTGCTGTCATCCAGGCTAGAGTGCAGTAGTGTGATCTCAGTTCACTGCAACCTCCTACTCCCGGGTTCAAGCAATCCTCCTGCCTGAGCCTCCTGAATAGCTGGGATTACAGGTGCACGCCACCACACCTAGCTCATTTTTGTATTTTTAGTAGAGACAGGGTTTTGCCATGTTGGCCAGGCTGGTCTCAAACTCCTGACCTCAAGTGATCTGTCTGCCTTGACCTCCCAAAGTGCTGGGATTACAGGCGTGAGCCACCACACATGGCCTAAGTCATTAATATTCTTAGTTATAAAATGAGTTCCGGAGGATCCCTGAAGTCCATGTCCTACATTCAGACTTTACTACTCATGTCTACTAATCCACTTTTATCAAGAGTTCCACAAGCACTAAATTTAAATGAACAGAGAAGTGACATCAATGAAAATGGTAAAGACCTCTGAAAATCCTCTCCACCATGAAACACACACACACACACCCCCACTGGCAAACAATCACCAGCATCAGTTTTCCTTTCTTTTTTTCTGACATGGAGTTTCACTCTTGTTGCCCAGGCTGGAATGCAGTGGCATGATCTCAGCTCACTGCAACCTCCGCCTCCTGGGTTCAAGCGATTATTCTGCCTCAGCCTCCCAAGTAGCTGGGATTACAGGTGCCTGCCACCACGCCCGGCTAATTTTTTGTATTTTTAGTAGAGATGAGGTTTCGCCATGTTGGGCAGGCTGTTCTCGAACTCCTGGCCTCAGGTAATCTGCCTGCCTTGGCCTCTAAAAGTGCTGGAATTACAGGCGTGAGACACTGTGGCCAGCCATTTTTTTTTTTTTTTTTTTTTAAAGACAGGGTCTTCCTTTGCCACCCAGGCTGGAGTGCAGTGGCACAATCTTGGCTCACTGCAACCTCGGGCCCCCAGGCCCAAGTGATCCATCTCAGCCTCCCAAATGCCTGTCACCACAGGTGCACACCACCATGTCCAGCTAATATTTTTGTTTTTTGTAAAGACGGGGTTTTACCATTTTGCTCAGGCTGGTCTCAAATTTCCAGACTCAAGCTATCCACCCGCCCTGGCCTTCCAACGTGCTGGGATTACAAACATGAGCCACTGCACCTGGCCAGTTTCTTCAATAAGATAGAGATTAACCAAAGGCTTGAAGAAATTGGAGTGCATTCAAGAAAAACAGCTGAAACTCAGTAAGAACAATGAGTTCTG